GCTAATTTATGTCAGTGTGATCTCCTCTCTCTTTAGAGTTTCCACATTGATCTAGTCACAGGAGCAATCCTATCCCCATACAGATTGTATTTTGCTAGGTGAAGGAGGGTAATTCTAAAATTGCTCCTATGCTCAGTTAGGAACTTAGTGATTATTGTGCTGCCAATAGTTCACTAGTTGAAGTCCTCGACAGATCTCTAATCAAGCACAATAAATTGTGGATATGTAGAGAAAGCATACTCACTAACAGTACTTCCATGATAAGATGTTTTCAATAAGGTGAACGCATTCACCTAAACAATACTGGGGAGTGGCAATTCAAAGATTTGAGGATATCACTAAATGGAAAAAAATGACTGAGGAAACATGACAAATATGAGTGTGTTGGCATTTTTTCTGAGACAAGCGTAAGGCAGGTGATTTTGGGTCATAGTTCCAGACTGGCAAAGGAAGGTCATGCAGTAATTGTGGGCATCAGTGACAAAGGAAAAAGAATATTATCTGTGTCCCCATGAGATGGCACCCTGAACCAGCAGTCCACACAGAGATGAGTTCAAAATTTTTTCTTCCTGGAAGGAGTGGATCACAGATACTTTAGTGAGAAGTGCTTAATCCAAAGTGTTGTCTCTCTGCTTTTGTTTCACAGAAGTTGATCTATGTCTTTGTACAGTGGGAAAAAGATAGGTGTCAGAATTATGGGTCAGGATTTTTTGTCTTTTTTACATATATGGATTTCCCCTTATACTTTGACTTCCTAGTCATATTCTGAAGCTGTTTTCACAGGCTCTTCAAATAGTCATTCAAATCTATCTCTTTATTAAGCTGATTTATTTGTATTACAGCAAGCATTATGCCTGGTGCTAAGTGTTGGGAGCAGTGCCTTTAGGGAAAATAGTCAGATCCTCAGCAACCTAATTCCAGTACATGAGATCATTCATTTCCCATTTCCCAGGTTAAAGGCTTTGTTCTCACTGAAAGCTGACAGCTGTTTGGTTGCCTGTTCAATTTTTTTCCCAATGAAACATATACCCAAGTCCAGAAGAGCCTCACTTAAAAAAAAATAAAACCAAAAAAACCCCCCAAAACCAAAACCCAAAGTGAATACATGTAAGTATGAGAAATTAATTTCCTGTCCGTTATTAGAAGCAATCACTGGTGAGTAATACTTCTGTGTCAGCAGGCATGTCTGAAGAAAACTGTATTGCTACCATACATGTTGAATCAGTGTGTTGCTGTCTGACACCATCCTTTGAGCATTTCAGGGCAAAGGCCTTGGGAAGAAAGAGAAAAGAGAGAGAGAGAGCTTGTTACTGTTCAGTTTGTGCCTCTCTCAGTGGAACCATAATTAACACTTTATTATTGTGTTATTTTAATTTCAAATTATTTTGTGGTTTATAACTGTTGGTCTGATCTTTGCTAGCATTTCTTATGAAAATGAAAAATATGTTGGCTATGGCTTATTCCTGTTGGTAAATAGCAAACCAGACCCATGTAATGTGAGGAATATGAAAAGTTCTGCTGTGTATACCTGTTTACAGACACTGCAGTTTTACCCTTCGAATTTTTCTAATTGTGTTAAAATTGTAGGTCACTGAATCAAAATAAAAGTGTACAAATGACTTCCTATCATTTGTTTCCCTGAAAGATCCAAAGCTAATGGTGAAGACTGTAACTCGATTAGAAGACCTGTCATGACTGGCAGCATAGAAAGAATGTACCAGTTTGTTCTATTCATTGTTCAGTCCCACTTGTAGATGATTTCCCATGTGGTCTCCAAAGCATGACAGTGTTAATTGCAATCAGACATGTACTGAGCATTAGTGAGCTTGAGGGAAGAAAAAAAAAAAGGGGAACTACAGTGGATGCTTTGAGTCTCTGAAATAGTTGAAATAGTTGAAATAGTTGAAATAGTTGAAATATGCTCCATGCTGTTCTCCATGCTGTTTTGAGCAGTAGGAGTATTCCCTTCTCCCTAAATGAGCTTGTTCAAAGAGCAGAGAGGAGGAGGTTGTTTTTTTTTCCTTTCCAGCAGCATGTAGGAACAGTGTTCCTAGGAGGTGTTCCGAGGGAGTGGCGAGGAGAGCTGGGGAGCCAGGGCAGAAAGCAGGCTGAGTCACAGGAGAGTCACCTGGCTGGTTGCATCCCTTCAGCAACAAAGCATGTCTGGCTTGCTGGTTCATAGGTAAAGCCACACATATATAACTGCTGGATCCTAGTGTCCAGCCGGGTCTTAGTTTGTGTTTTTCCTTGGGCTATTGAAGACCTGGAAGAGTGGGGACCAAAGCCCAGTTATTACTTTGCCAGTGGACTGTAACTTGTCTGAGTTACAAGGATTCAGATTTATATAATCAGTGTTCCATGTCACACTCTCATGGTTTCTACCTTATTTATTTACCTTATTTTCTGAGATAATATTACAGCAGGTGTCCAACTCACAGAGGCCTTAAAAATAGTTTTGATTTTTTGATAAGTAAAAATCCTATTACTGGTTCTATTATTTTTTTGAACGTGGTGATAGAAATACAGTTCATAATAGGTGTGTGTTGGAAATACTTTTGAGGTTAAACTGAACAAGAATAATTTAGTGAAAGGTAAATGCAGGAGGCGGGGAAGCTGATGCAACTAGTTGTCATTGAGTCAGACTGAGAAAGATTCCTGGACTTGGGGAGAATGGCTTCACTTCTTGTCCCTTGCAAAACTCCACTCCCTGAGGTTAAGCATTTTCTACTTTTCACATTAGCATCTTCTGCTTTTCCACATCTTCTAGACTGGGCTATAAGTAAGACTCAGTCATATGTCAGGTATTCCCATACATATGAGTAAGAAGCTACCAGGAAGTCATAGTTAGTTTAACGTTGCCTCTGATAGCAAATTAACCCAAAATATCCATTTTCAGGGGAATCAGGACTGCCCTCTGAACTGCTCAGCTACCAGTGCCAGTGTGGACTCCTTCATTTGAAGCATCACAATTCCAGCAGTGATTATTAATTTCATGGCACCACAGTCAGAAATAATTAATTACTCAGCAGTAACTAGGTCAGGTTGAAGGATTCTGTAAGGCTACGCAGTGCCAGACCTCAGCTATCAAAGAGCAGTTATCCAGTGGAGGGTAAGTGATGTTTACACACCTACAGCTTGGCAATATAGAGTTATTTCCTTTTTCCACTGCCCAGCCTTTAAAAGAAACTGATGCATCTACTTACATCTGTATTTCCCACATATCACTAGCAAGGAAATGGATCTGGAGAGTTGTGTTGTCTCTGCCAAAGCAGTCTGTCTGTTGTCCCCCTCCCTGCAGCTTGTCCAGAAGCTCCTGAGCCACTTCACCATGGCCATACTTGGTAGACCTGGGTCTAGGAAGGAAAGTTTGCTTCTGCAGAGACAGTAGTGTTTGGCTTTAGATTACTTGCAGACATCTGAGAAGAGTCTGGCAGCCAACATTACTGTGTATTTTCATCAAAATTTCTCTTACAGAAGGCATAATTAGGTACATAACAATGATGGCTCAGATGGCAGTTTAGCCAGCTGGCCTGTATCTTGTTTTAATTGCTTGAACATATCCACACCCTGTCTTTGTTATGAATTCATTTATGGCAAAGCATACAAATTTTAAATTTACTGTCTGGTGATGATGGAAGGTGAACCCCATCTGCATCACAGCAGAAAGTAAAATGTAATTTCCTTTGGGTAATAAGAGCTTAGGAGCCTTTTGGAAGGAAATACAGATAGGATCTGATCAGGACGCTGTGGTGTGATTTATGCTCAAAGCAAAACAGGAATGTGTCTTTCCAGGAGATAACAGCTGTCACCAAGGAGGCATCGTGTCAGTGAAAACACATCCTTTGGTTTTCTAGCCCTTTCATTTGGGCAGCCAGGCATGCCAGCGCTGCAAACCTGAAAGCAAACTCAATTATCTTGCATTTACCTTTTGTAGCCTAAAAGTATGCAGGGCCACCTGGGGTTACTGAGGTGTGAACCAGAGCTGTGCCTGTGGTGTGGCACACCATTTCCTCATGGGGACTGAAGTGTAGCCATGGCCTCCTGGGGAGCATTGGCTGGTGTTCCCCGCTGTGGGCAGTGTGGCTGCCCAACCAGAGAACGGTGTGGAGCAGGGCTGGACTGCCTCTTCCTTGCTAAGGACTGTGTACGTCTTTCAAATAAAAATAGACTTGGTGGGTTGCACCATCACCTCTCCTTCTCACTTTCTTCTCCCATCCCCATCGTGTTTATCTGTAGCAACATGGACTGTATGACATGAACCCAGTGGTCTCCATCCAGGAGGCAAAGGGATGGGGCTGTCTGTTCCCCTCCCACCTCTGGGGACAGGTAGCAGCAGGAAGGCTGCTCGCCTGCAGAGGACACGGCTGTCTATGGGAAGAAGCTCTTGCTTTACAGCAACAAGAAGGGCAGATACTTTTCCTTGAGCATTAACTCCAGTCTGGCCTTGGGCTTTAAAGGCAACCAAATGCACACATACACCCTTTACAAAGACAGAGTTAAGATGCTGCCTTAATGCATATACAGATGCAAAGTGCCCAGCCACGCACTCCTACACGGTTTGGTTGTCTTCCTGGGTGTCTTTTTCACACTTACAATTTTTCTGCAAATAGCGGCAATTCCAACGTAACTTGGAGTACTGGTTTTGCTCAGAAGGTTTTAATTGCTCATCCACTCCTGTACTCTCTCCTTGGGAGTCTTCATTTAGTCTTGTCTGGTGCCTTTTGTACTGCGCTTGCTGAAGGCAACGCGCAAAGGCTGCTCTTTCCTGCCGGAGCTTGTTGTTGTTTTCAGTAGCTGGGCAGGCAAAGACAACTCTGGTGTGAATCATTTTGCTCCTCCAATGTAAGAGCTGCCGTGAAGAATGATTAAGGGGAGGAAAAAAAAAAAAGAAAACAAGAGTGAGAGGGAGTGTGTGTGCGCACAAATTAAGGTTGGGAAAGTGGGAGTGGTGTCAATGAGCAGGCAAGCTAACAGAGTCGTCTGCTCGGCAAGATTTCACCACAGGTAGCAAGTTCTTCGTGCTGTACCCATTCCATTGATTCGTTTACCAGGATTATAGCCTTGCAAAGTAAGTACAGCTTTTTTTCTTTCTCTGGTACTTTAATTAATGCCCAACTAATAGTTAACGAATCTCCATTGTGAAACATAATCGCGTAGAGGGAGTGGGATAAGGAAATTTGTACAAAAAGATATCATGTGGAATTAAAGGAGCACAAAAACCTTCCCAAACTACAATGTTTTGGTTTCATCCCAGAATTGCTGCATTTGCCACGCTGTATTTCTTCCCCCTGAAAAGATTCATTGGAAGTGGTGAATAGGATCTGGGAAGTGAGACAGCAGGGACATTAGGAATTAATAAAATATGGTGGTTTATTGCAAATGGCTTTCCCTGTATCAGGAGAAGCAAGTTGCGTGTGATGATGTGAAAATGCTCCATGTGTCAAAGCAGGATTTCGACAGTTTTGTAAGTCTGTTACAGAGGAGTATTCCTCTGATTTTCTGCAGAAGTGTGTACGCTCTGCTCTGTTTGCTTTGAGTTATTAATCAGGTGACTAATCTGCACTTCTTTAAAATGAATGGAATGTAGGTCCAGTAATTACCAATTTATTTTCAGGGTGACCATTTAGTTTAAAGAATTCATTGGCTATTGAGCTACAACAAAGGATACTGCAGTGGCT